AAAAATATCGAATGTAGCCGTTATATTAGCGTCTATACGACGACGTGGACCTGCATAGGTAACTTTTGTCATATGCCATTACAATATTCAAATGCGAAGCTTAAAACAAAATCGGTGAATTATGTCTCTAAAATCGTCAAAATACCGAATATCGGGAGGTACCGAAGACGTGGACCTGCACAGACAATTTTCTGTCTTAGGCTGTAGTATCCATTACGAACTTCAAACACCAAATTTAAAACAATTCTGGTGAATAATGTCGCTAAAATCATCAAAATACCGAATATAGGGAGGTACCGTTATATAGGAGCTATGCGAAGACCTGGACCTTTATAGAAACTTTATGTCGTAGGCTGAAGCATCCATTACGAACTTCAAATACGACATCTCCAACAATTCGGTGAGTATTGTACCTAAAATCGCCAAAATACCGAATATAGGGAGTTACTGACATGTGGGGCCTATACGAAGACGTGGACCTGCACAGATAATTTTCTGTCACAGACTGTAGTTCCCATTAAGAACTCTAAATACGTAATTTGAAACTACTCCAGTGAATAATGACGCTAAAATAATCACAATAACGAATATTGGGAGGTGACGTTAAATGGGTGCCCATTTTCTATCTTAGGCTGCAGCATAAATTACGAACTTCAAATACCAAATTTAAAACAATTCTGGAGGTACCGTTATATGGGAGCTATACGACGACGTAGACCTGCACAGAAAATTTTCTGTCTTAGGTTGTATTATCCATTTTGAACTTCAACCGCCAAACTTGAAAAAAATCCAGTGAATAATGTCGCTAAAATCATCAAAATACCGAATATCGGGAGGTACCGTCATATGGGGGCTATACGAAGATGTAGAGCTGCACAGACAATTTTCTGTCTTTGGCTGTAGTATACATTTCAAACTTAAAATACCAAATTTGAATTAAATCCGTTGAATAATGTTGCTAAAATCATCAAAATACCGAATATCGGGAGGTACCGTTATTTGGGGGCTATACGAAGACGTGGACCTGCACAGACAATTTTCTGTCATAAGTATGCATTACGAACTTCATATTTGAAATAATTCCGGTGAATAATGTCGCTAAAATCATCAAAATAGCGAATATCGAGAGGTACCGTTATATGTTGGCTATACCAAAACGAGGACCTACATGGCCGATTTTCAATACCAAAAGTCCTTGCAGACATAATATACACTTGAATAAAATTTTATCAATATACTTCATTTCGTTAGAGTGATTTCCACAGACGGATAGACGGACGGACATCACTAAATCAACATAGAATTTTATGCTTATCAAAACTATTTTTCGATGTGTTACAAACGGAATAAAAAACTTAATATACCATCCATACTATGGTGAAGGGTAAAAACCTGTAGAAGACCTAAAGAAGACTCTACCTCCAGACGACATGAAAAAGAGTTTATTTATATAAAATACCTTTAGAAGCTATTCTGTCTATATAAAATATATTATAGATTTATATAAAGACATGCGGAAAGTCTTTTCCCTATAAGGAATTATAGACAGAATCTCTTCCATCTAAAGATAATCAACTTTAGAATATTTCTATAAAAATTCTTTAATTTATATTAGTTGTCCTGAAAATGGTCTTCCATCTAATATATATGGTCTTCTATGACTCATCAATTAAAAATATATTGAACCACTTTTGTTATAACCACACGTTTTCAAAAAAGCATTTCCCATCCACGTGAAATGAAATAAAGTAAAATATTTTCCATCTGACAGTTATAAAATACAGTTTAACTTTCAATAAAACTAAACAAATACAATTATGTCTGTCCGTGAGTACGTTATTCTTTTTATATTGCTCTGCTGGGTGTTAAAATGTGTTACAGACAATTTTTATTAGCTTGCTCAAGTTAGCTCGCCTTTCAGATGACAATTAACCATATCATTTTCTTAATTACACTAACTTTTTTCACCGACATTGCCAGAATTTGCGCATTTCTATTTGAGAAAGTGCAATTTTTAGGATAATTTCTCGCCAACTAAACGAAAATCTCTTTGAAGCATAAAAATTGTTTAAATATTTGTTAGATTGACAGAAGGCTCTCGAAAAAACATAAAGCAAATATAATAAACTGAATTATAAACAAGATAAAATGTGTGACTGTTTTGTCACTTCACCTGTCATTGTTTCAATTTGTTTGTATAAGTTATTGTCTGTAATCGCTTCAACCCGAACTCAAGTGACTAAAATCATTATTATTTTATAAAGGGTTGATAAATGCAAATTTTTGTGTAATCTATTGAGTATTCGAGGTGAGATTAGGAATTTTAGGAAAATAATTAGAAATAATCAGTGAAAGTAAAACATCAGTCATGTGGCTACAAAGGGTATATTTAATTTGATACGAACAAAACGTGTCTCATTTGGTTCTCTTTGAACCAAATCAGTTTCGGAAAATTTGGAGTACAATGTCCGTCCGTCTGACAGGTGCGCGCGATAAATCTCGAATAGAGTATCCGATTTGTTCCAATATTTATCGGTCGGACCTTCTGGTACCTTTACCACCTTCCGATTTGGTGCAAACTTGGTACATCGTAATATTTTGTCAAACTTAGATCGAGTTCAGAGATGAGCAATATCGGCCCACTTCTTGTGGTACCTCACCCACACCACAAAAGATCAAAATTTTCAAAAAATATATTTTTTACAAAGAAAGAGAAACGATAATCCGATTGTGATATAACTTTGCTAATCCTAATATTTGGGTCAGTTCTAGGTCAGGTGCGAAAATGAACAATATCGGTCCACCCCATCAAGTACCTCCAAAGGGCAAAATTTTTAATAATTTCAACTCTTATAAAATGAGATGTTAGAGTCCGATTGTCTTCAAATTTCACACATCCCAATAATTTTATTAATACAAGGTTTGGTATTAAGATGGAATACATCGGTCCACTCCTTCTGATATCTCCCCCACAAAAAGTCGAAATTTTCAGAAAAAAATATTTTCTGCACAGAAAGAGAAGAAATAATCCGATTTTGCTCTAACAAATTGTAATATTTGCCTTAGTTCTCGGCCGGGTACAAAAATGGTATATCGGTAATATTCATCAAGTGATTAATTATAACTCTTATAAAATGTGATGTGAGAATCCGATCGTTTTAAAATTTCACACATCCTAATATTTTTATAGACTTAAGATCTGGTGTTAAGATGGAAAATATCGGTCCACTCCTTCTGGTACCTCCCCTACAAAGGGTCAACATTTTGAATGTCCATGAAGCTCATAAAAAGCGATATCACCATCAGATTCCATTCCAGACTTGGTACATCTCAAGATCTGTTATAAAGATGGTAGAGATCGTACTATTTCTTTTGCTAACTGCCCCACATAGGGTTCAAGACTTTGAAAAATAAAACGCTCAAAGAAAGCGAAAAAATTTTACACATACAAACATTTTTGCCAATACAAGATTTGTTGATGATATATATATATATATATATATATATATATATATATATATATATATATATATATATATATAAATATATATATATATGCGAAACCCTTCTGGTATCTCACTCAGAAAGGGTCACAATATTCAATCCTTTTATCTGTCATAAATAGCGAAAGAATTCAGCGCTTCTTTTCAACTTGTTATATCTAAATATTTCTCTCAACCAGAAACTTGAGATGAATATGGAATTTATGATTTTCCATAAATTGGATAGATTTTCTTGTAATTTTGAAAATACTTATATTTTTATATGCATTAGATGAAACAAGAAAATGGAATACTTCGGTCGACTATACCTGGCATCTGACTCACATATTAACATTTTCTAAAAATTATCACATGTGTCATGTAAAGTTAGGGAAGTTACCAACTTGTTACCAAGTTACCCCATATTTATATAGTATTTATTTAAGAACCCTCTCCATAGGGTCAACAGTTTGAATAATCATAACAGAAGTCAAAATATATTTAAATAATCGAACAATGGCTGAGCGTATTAGTCTGTCTAGAGAGCCGATTGATACTTATTAACTTGTTTTATCAGTAGTAGATGAAGTGAAACACTTAGGTTCACTATATCTGGAAACTCGCGCATATTTTTAACATTTCCCAAAAATTATCAGATATCTCATATAAAATGAGAGTCCAAATTTTATATTTCTGGAATGAATATTTCGATCAAAGGAATGGCAAACTTAAAATACTATCTATATTATGTATGGTGGAGCATTTAAAAATCGATTTTAGACCTTTTTATACGCAGTTTTGATTAGATTGTGGGTACTATAAAAAGATTTAAAAAACAAAATACCTTGATTGTTGCATATTATTAATCAACCAAAATTCCATGATTTCTTACCGAAAATAAAATATAAAACTCGGGTTTGGGACTTTTAAAAATGGCAAAACTCGACTTCGACTTTTAGACTTTAAAATGTCAAAAATCAATCAATTAGTTTGCTATATGAAATGCGTGGCATGGCTCACGTCTAACGTTCCAAACATAGCCACTGGATACGTTTGACATTTAAATATGGGGGGTTTACATTATTAAATGCCATTGACAAACTAAGTGCTACATAGCCTGATCTGCTTGAGAACGCTGCTTATATTGCGAACGAACCGAATACATACAGCGAGCATAACAAAGCTTTCATCTTTGTATTCACTCACTACGAATTACTATAGAATTGCTGATTTAAATCTTTATATTTAACAAATTTATTAAGATCAAAATTAATTGCGTTTTTGTTGCTACACCAGTCTTCAAAATCAGGATTCAATAATAAGCAAAAACAATCCTTTTGTATAACTATTAATTTTATTTAACTGTTTGTTTTTTTACAAAATAATAAAATTTTAAAAAGATAAAGAAAAAAACTTGAAAGAAGTTATGAATATTTCAGAATATGCAAAAAATTGAAAACAATTTAAAATAAAAAAAAAACTTAACAAATCAAAAATTATGATTTTTTCTTCAATAAAAAAAATGCAAAAAACGTAATGTTTTAATAAGAAATTAATTCACATTGTGGGGGAAGCGGCAATAACTCTTTTTTTATTTTACTATAAACATTGTTACGTGTGTAAATATATAATAAAATGAAATTATATGTGTGTACATATAACGGAAAATGAAACGTTAGCCTGTCTTCCATTTTCTCAATCGTTTTTCTATTTTTATGGCAAACTTTTGCCAACATTTTAGAAAAAATCTTTACAGTAAACGCACGACATTTAATAAAAAAAAATAATGAAAAAAACGAATGCCTCTTTTTGTTTGCGTTTACATTTTTAATCTTCCAATGTAACATTGCGGAAGAGATAGGACATAGATTCCTTGTTATGTATACGACGAATTGCCTCAGCAATTAAAATGGAAATGTCAATTGTCTTGATTTTATGACATTGTAGTTTTTGTACCTCATGTGGAATGGTATTGGTAACAACGACCTGAAAATAAAACAGCAAAATATTAGAAAATTTTGTATTGATTTCTTATTAATTTTAATAGCTCACCTCATCAATAGCGGATTCCTCGATTAGACGTGGCGCATCTGAACTAAGCAGACCGTGTGTAGCCAATACATAAATTTTGCAGGCACCATTCTCTTTTAGCACATCGGCAGCTGCCACAAACGATTGGACGTCATCGATCAAGTCGTCCTTGAAAAATTATAATTGCAATATATTTTTTATTAATAGTTCTTCGATTTTTCTATGATTTGTTGTGAGTGTTATTTATGTAGACATAGGTGAATATGACTTGCAACCCAATAAAAGCTTTAGTTTATATCTAAATATATTAAGTATGAACAAGCATATTCGATCTGATATTTGAGTCGTTGAACCACCTCTATTGAAAATTGATTATTATTATTTTTAGGCAAGTGGATAATCGTTATAAAATGTTGCTTCTAATTGAAATTGTTAAAAAAATTAGATTTGTTATGAAATTTTGGCATGCAGGTACATTTTCAGCTTCATTCTGTGCCGATGTTGATCCAGCGAGTAGTCGTCGGAGTGCGCAACCCTTCAGCAATCTTCACAACTGCATTTATTGGGTTCGAAAAAGCCTCGTTTTTGGCATTCAGCTGCAATTGCATCCGAAGAAAGTTTAACGGAAAAAAATAATTTTATGAAAGTGTCACTGTCCCAAGCATGGTGAATGACGGGAACTGGGAACCCATAATTTTTTTAGGTTCAACATATTCATTAATCAGGGCAGATACGCTTAAATCGTCGTATTTTCTTATAGTAGGAAAGATAATCAGCAGAATCGTGAGATAGAAGATGATAATTTGACATTCTCGAATATTTTGGAATAGACGTGATTATTCTTCTATTCAATCTAAAATGAATCATGCAGGAAAGCTATTACTTCCACTCAGCTTGTTTGAAAGATTCGTAGAATGAACAAATAATAAAGCTGTAAGTTCGGCCGGGTCGAACTTTGAATACCCTTCACCATTTGGAACGAATTTGGCAATTCTCAAAAATAATACAATCCCTCAAAAATTCTGTTAAAATCTTAAAAATTCCGAATGTAGCTGCTATATTAGGGTCTATACGACGACATGGACCAGCATAGGTAACTTTTGTCATAAGCCATGACAATATTCAAATGCAAAACTTAAAAAAATCGGTAAATAATGTAGCTAAAATAATCAAAACACAAAATATCGGGAGGTACTGTTATATTGGGGCTATACGAACACGTGGACCTGCACAGACAATTTTCTGTCATAGAATGTAGTATCCATTACGAACTTCAAATACCACAATTTGAAACAATTGCGTTACATGATGTCTCTAAAATCATAAAAATACCAAATATCAGGAGGTACCGTTATATTGGGGCTATACGAAGACGTAGACCTGCACAGACAATTTTCTGTCATAGGCTGCAGTACTCATTACGAACTTCAAATACCAGATTTGAAACAATTCCGGTAAATAATGTCGCTAAGATCATTAAAATACCGAATATCGGGAGGTAACGTTATATGGGTGCTATGCGAAGACGTGGACCTGCACAGACAATTTTCTGTCAAAGGCTGTAGCATCCATTACGATCATCAAATACCAATTCCAGTGAATAATGTTGCTAAAATCATCAAAATATGATATATCGGTAGGTACCGTTATATGGGGGCTACACGAAGACGTGGACCTGCACAGACAATTTTCTGTCAAAGGCTGTAGCATCCATTACGATCATCAAATACCAATTCCAGTGAATAATGTTGCTAAAATCATCAAAATATGATATATCGGTAGGTACCGTTATATGGGGGCTACACGAAGACGTGGACCTGCACAGACAATTTTCGGTATTAGGGTGTAGTATCCATTTCGAAATTCAAATACCAAATTTGAAACAATTACGGTGAATAATGTCGCTAAAATCATTAAAATACCAAATATCGGGAGGTACCGTTATATGGGGGCATACCAAAACGTGGGTCCACATCATTTTCAATACCAAAAGTCCTGCAGACATAATACACATTTGAGTAAAATTTTATCAACCTACTTTAATTCGTTCGGAAGCTAGAGTGATTTCCACAGACGGACAGATGGATAGTTATGCTGATCAAGAATATATATACTTTGTGAGGTCTAAAATGTATATTTCTAGGTGTTACAGACGGAATGATATATTAATATACCCTCTATACTATGGTGGAGGGTATAAAAAGAGTTTGCTAAGTTGGGTGTAATCTTCGGAACTTTTCATGGCGCTGAGATCATAATATACCCGGAGATGATTGTTCTACAATGCCCTCGTACCCTATTCTCAGTGAAATATGTACACGGAGAATAAATTAATCCATAGACGTCGCCCATTAAAAAATATCTCCGGTAGGAGTAGAAAGAGAGATTCTAATGAAAAGGCCTGAATAATATTGACAATGACACGTTCGCGCAGAAGCAAGTGACCGAGTGACTACCACTCTCGTAGTTTATTGATATCCACTGAAGCAGAGGAGCAACGAATTCATCGACAAACCAGTGTCGTAATTAAGATCAGGATGATGCAGACTCAGCCAAAACTACAACCCTAACATTATTATAGAATTATCCTCTGCATTTTTTTGAACTTGTAGTTCAAAGCAAAATTCTTTTCCATTTTAAATGGAAATGGAATAGGTTGGAATCAAGCTCATCATAGTAGCTTAAACCACATTGTTATATTTTGATTTTTACGAGGAAATTTACTACATTGACGAACATTTTATAATCACTCTAAAAAATTGCATATATTTTTCAGACTATAAAGATAGGCGTCTTTAGGTATACCGGAAATCCTTAACGTATTGTCAAATTGAATGCATGGTTTACACACATTGTATGACCAGATCAGTCATTAAATCGTTTTATCTAAAAGATTTTTCATGGCATCTGATGTAAACAAGTCATATTCACTTAAATTGTTAAAACAATTACAGGATTAGTTTTAAACTTAATTATATTATGAATAATATGAGTATTTCCCAAACTCATTGTACTTACCACCATAATAGCTATGCGACCATTAACATCACCAACTAGATTCAATGGAGGTTTTACTTTTTGTGGATGTTCGGGTACACCAACCGACACAGAAATGGTACGAGCACGACTGAAGTGAATTTATTTGTATAAAACAGAACCCATTAGTTTTCAATATATTTCCAATTTAATGATTTCAAATAATTAAGAAAATAAAACCAAATGAATATCCTTAACACATTTGATAAAAATTGAATGTTAGTTGGGGTTTTCAAATGAGAGATTAATGGAATAATAAACAAAATGCATATAAAGAAATCATGAAATAATATATTTGTTATTATAGTATTCCAATACGTGAAAGAAGAAGAAGAAGGAGTTAACACAATTTTGCAAAATATGTTTTTTGTATACCAACCTAGGTGTTGCTGGTAAGCACATTTCAACTGTATCTGCTACATCATACGAACTGGAGTGATTTAGAATTTTGCAAAAAATAAATTAAAACAAATCACCGCAATGAAATAGAAAACAAAATATTGCAATTCGTTTTTTTAACCTTAATTTTTTTTTTTAAATTCTCAATTTTTTACCAATTCTAGCACCAATAAGAATACAACATTTATCTTTTATAAAGAAAAAAATCAAAAAGCGACAACATTTTTTTAAATATTCTACATTACAAAATCAAAAATGATATACAAAAGCTTGTACAAACATGTAACAATACAGCAACGTATTTAATAAAATTTTGATTAAACAACAACTGTAACAATGATTTATGACTTTTGAAACATTCAAATGAACGGCACAAAATTGTTTTTGATTTGTATACATATTTCATATTTTGTTCACATCCTGTTTACCATTTGTACACACTGCAGGTGTTTAGAGGAAAACATCTCTCTTAATTTAACACCATATTTTTTACAAGTGCAATGCTGTCATTCAAAAACTGCATTTTATTTCAAATATCATGAGGTGACACAAATGTGTGAAATGTAAATTTGAATCGTGATTGTAGATTTTTCTACGTAATTGAATTAAAGGAATAAAGGTGCATGACAAACTAGAACAACATGTTCAGTTCATCGGAATAACATTTTTCAAGTAGTTTTATTAAATACCCTATTTATGTAGTTTTAGTAAATACCTTAAATGGTATAGTATAGACAAAACAATCTTATAATGTGTAGGCTTAAAATGACTATTAACAGTTTTACCGAAAAAAATCATTTTCTCATTTTTTTTTGCTTGCATAAATAATAATTGAAATTGAAATAATTCTAATAAAAAATGGGAATTTTAACCAAACAACATTAGACAATTTAAATTTTGAAAAATTATTAATTAGTTATTAACATATGCAGAGTATTTTAATTGTCCAGCAAAAAGACGAATGCCAAAAAGTAGTTGAATCATGAGTGCTTGTGATTTCGCGCTACATTTTAGTTAATAAAATTCACTCGCCGGAATGTTTTCTGACTTTGTGTATGGGTGCTACAAACCAATACTTTCTTCAATATAGCATTTTTACAACATCAATACCATTATTCAAATTAGTATGGCATATTTTGCATCATTTATATCACTGTTTCTAAAAATAAAGTGGAATAACTACTTTATGTGGGACAACTTCAAACTAATTTTACTGGTCATTCTTGCATTTTATGCTAACAGAGATCACATTTTCATCAACATCCAACACATACATGGTGAGATAAAAAACTGCAAAACAGTCAAACGCCATAATTCTTACATTTTCTTTATTTAATTTTATTTAATGAAAGCAGAAAATGTCGGAAATAGCATCAAATTTTAGAATAAGTTTAGATTTGTTCGAATTGGTCATCTTTGGTACGAATTACGGCCTTCAAACGACCAATGAAACCGTGGAATTTTGGCCCATTCCCGGCGAAGCGCTTGCTCCACTATTGACACTTTGGTATTTTTGGTGCCAACCTTGCTTTCCAAAATACTCCAGACACAATAGTCCAAGGGATTGGTATCCGGAGACTTTGGTGGCGATTGTGCGCTGGAAATGAAGCGAGGAACCTCATTTTGTAACCATTCTTGGGTGGCGCGTGATGAGTGAATGTCCAGGGTCTGCAGCCAAAATGTTTGCATGCCCAAGACTTCGCGATAATATTCGGCATTTATTCTGATGCCACGGTCGATTAATACGAGCGGAGAGCAACCATCTGCTGTTATGGCGGCCCACACCATCACCATGGCCGGCGCTTGAGTTCTAGTAGCCAATCGAAGGTGCACATTTTCAGCTGACCTCTTTGGCAAGTAAACACGATCCTTTTGTTTCTTTACAAACTGTTAGACAACGAATGTTTTCCCATCGGAGAATTCGGCAGTTCACCAATTTCGGCAAAGCGAAGAAACTTTTTAGCCCTTTTGACGAAAATGAAATAACATTCGTCTAGAATGTTAAGATTATTATACCCTACACCACAAGGTTGAGAGGGTCTTTGTGCATTTGTTTGTAAACAGGCAAAAGGAAATGAAATAGACCCATAGTTCCTTTTGATGGTCTGCATAGAATCACATTCTGAGCCGATGAAATCCAGATGAAATTTTGCACAAATCATTTCTTTGGCCCAAGGACGAACCCTATTGAAATTGGAGATAATCGGCCAAAATTTAGATATATCTCCCATATATCTTCGTCCGATTTACCTTTTATTGTGCACCAAACGTGTAATATCAGCCCGAATAGTATGAAATTTTGCCCATACAACCAAATTAGGTCTGAAAATAAGTATGCCAAATTTGATCGAAATCGGTCCCATATATATTGTTCATCCGATTTCTTATTTTTGTCCTCCGCAGCCGTAATATGCACTCTGTAACAACAATATTTGGGGAAATATATCAAATGCAGCTCAGAAATACATTTGCTAGATTTTTATCGAGATCGTTTCAGATTTGGATATAGCTCCCCTATATAACTTCGTCCGATTTACCTTTTATTGTGTACCAAACGTCTAATATTCGCCCAAATGGACTGTAATTTGGCACATACGACCGAATTGAGTCTAGAAGCTAGTATGTCAAATTTGGTGAAAATCGGTTCTGATATAGCTATAACTCCCATATATATTGTTTATCCGATTTGTTGTATTTGTTACCCACAGCCGTAATATGCACTCCGTAACAACGATATTCAGGGAAATATATCAAATACAGCTCAGAAATATCTTTGCCAAATTTTATCGAGATCGGTTCAGATTTGGATATAGCTCCCATACATATCTCTATCCAAATTGGGCACCAAATGGGCAATACAAGTCCGATTTTAAAATTATAATTATAATAGGGTGTATGATTGAATTCTCCCATAAAAACTTTTAATTGTTATGCGGAGCTCTACTAAATTAGCAATGTGGTGTAGGGTATCATAAAGTCGGCCCCGGTTTATTGGTTTTTAATATTAAATTAATTTTTTAAAAGTAATTCCTCTTCACCAACGTATTTTCTGCTATCCAACTCGGTCATCCACCTGAAACCAAGTGTTTACGTTACACATTCTGTACCTGTTCAACCTTTAACCGTCTGCGATATCGTAATAATGCTTGAACTTCATCTACGTTACAAATCTCATTATTTTCTTTCATTATCTCTCTTATTACAAATCTTTTCTTTACTCATACGACTTTGAAAATACAAAAAAAAAAGTCTCAGAATAACTCAGAGAGAAGAAAATGATATTTATTTTATTAAAAGTCTTCAAATGAATTCAAAGCTGGTTTTCAAAATCAGTCTAAAATTTGCAACATTAACAATGTTTAGATCAAAATAAAATCATGTTTTCAATATTATTCAAACTAATCTTGACTCATAGCATTGTTTTTATCTTACTGTAGAAGTTTTTGTACGAAATATAAAATCTTGCATGTAATTATGAAGATAAATATCCACTTTTTCAAAGAAGTTGTATCGACTACATCAGAAGGTGTAAACTGCAGAAAACGATAATCTAAATTTAACATCACAACGATTCAGCGATCTACTTTATTGTAACTTACATCGGCGTAAAGGTGAAGTATTAGGAATGGGGTATAACCATACCGTTTTTTTGCTGTCATACCTAACACCTATATCATATGTTAACCGAATACAAAACAAGCCAAATACAGATTTCCAAAAAATTTGTTTGTTAATATTTTGTTCAACCAATGTTGAAGCACTTACATTTTCAACTTGAATGTAATCGTTATACAAAGTCTTAACAAGATGTACAAAACTAAAAAAAAAAAGGTTTTTCGAAAAAAATCTTTCGAAATTTACTAAAAATGAAACTTTTTTGTCCAATATAATCCGACCAATTAAATATTTAAAGGAAACACAAAACGCAGAACATGCTAAAAACGTTTATATGAATTCATAAAATAACTAAACGTGCTTTTCACAAAAAAAAAAAAAATTGTCCAAAAAACAAAATCAAACACAATGAAAATGAAAATAAAAAACTCCCAGTTTTGAGAACGTTGTATAGAAGAACTTCGAAAGTTGAAATGTACTTTTATATTTAATGTGAAAAATCATGGTAAATCCAAAGGACAAGATGTTTAGTATGAATAGTTTCGGAAGACACAATAGATTAAAAGTAAAAAAATAGAAATATATGTATGCGAAGAACAGTGAAGAAATGAATAAGAGTAATATTGAAAAGCAAATTATAAAATTAAAGCCAATTTAATAACAAAAAATAATTTAATATAAAAAGTAAGCGTAGCATATGGTACGACATAAAACCAATGACATTGTGCAGTTTAGACAAGAAAGAAAACACACACTCATATATACTAAAAGAAGAGCCATGTGTGTGTTACTTTTGTCACATACAACTACATGAAATCTAAATCATTGCTATTAGCAGTATGGACGCCAACGAACATCTAGTTATACAAGAGACATGGAAAGTAATGGACTTACCTGTTGGGTGGTGGTGAATAACGACCATCAACTTGATCACTTTCAGCTTCTTTGTGTTCACCATGAATAACACCAATTCCCAAACGTAAACGTTCGGCATAGGAGGTGGCTTTCTTAGCTGAATTGGGATTACGGGCAACTATGACCGAATTGCGATAGTCTGGTATCTGATGAATAAAGGATATTTGAAAATTAATTATGGATTACATATCAATTAAAAAATAATTTTAGCTTACGCTCTCTTGAATGTATTGTAACAGAAATGGTGAAGCTCTTAAATTATCAACTGGTATATCAAAGAATCCTTGTATCTCTTTCTGATGCAAGTCCATTGTAATAATGTGTGTCAGCCCAGAAGTACACATCATTTTGGCCAGGAGCTTGGACACAATGCAGCCACGTTTCCTCATTTTGCACTGTTTGGAATAGGGCAAATATGGAATGACACCCACAATTGATCTGGCTGATGATGTCTTACAGGCATAGGCCATAATTAACAATTCCATAATATTGTTATTGGCGTCTCTATATAAAAGAAAATTTCAATATTAATTTAATTTTTATGAATAATTTTATTTAATTTTACAACTTACTTGGTTCCCGTTTGTATAATATAAATATCCTTGCCTCTCACAGAATCACCAATTTCTACCATTGTTTCACGATTTGTTTTGTGAAACACAGAACAGCCACCACTCTTCACACCCATACGTTCAGCCACCAAATTGGCCAAGTCTGGATGAGAATTGCCATGTATTATGACAATATCTGAAGCTGATGTGGAATCCATATCGCTGCGACAACGTTTCGGTGGTCGAACACTTCCCAATCTAAGGAATAAAAAAAAAAACATTTAGAAATTACGATATTTCCATCTTAGAGAAAATTGGGTAAGGAACAAGAAAATACATATAAAACAGCGTTAAGTTTTGGGTAAATTAACAAAAAAAAAAAACCTAAAAAATAAGCGAAACAATTGTGCGGTCACAAAATGCTATGCCATTTCAAAGCAGAGATTTCAAATGATATACACTAGTAATAATTGTCAGAAATATCAGTTTCTTTCCAAGTGGTCTATACCGAAAATGTCTTTATGAAATTGGACGGTTAAACCACGCAATACGTAATTAAGATGTCATGCTACGACTAACGTCAACAAACCGAAAAAAAAGTGGATTTGTTTATTTGCAGAAGCATTAAAACATTTTCCAAAAATCGTTGACTGAATATCCTACTCAGGTCTGTAACTTCGAAAATAATAGTTTCCTTATAGCGAACGGTCTCAAAATAAAGACCTGTCTATCTGTAAGACACAATTCAACAAGCATTCCTCTTGACAGTAGAACACTTTGCCAGATGGGGTCGCCGCCTAACTAACAAGGCCACAAGCTCTACAAAAGATACTACTCCAGGCGAAGAAAACTTGCTCATATCCGGTTTCGAAATTTGATTCCATTGAACCAAAAACATATTTTGAACATGCTTCATTCAAGGTAGAATAATTTAAAAAAATCGAATCTACAGTAGAAAAAAATTAAAGGAAAACTTACGACATTCTTCTACGTGGTATACGAAATACCCATCAAGGTCACTTCATTTAATTAATGCTCACAACACCACTTTCACTGGATGTAAACACCAGAGGAGGCTTAAGGTCCAAAAACAGGGTTTACAATTGAATTTCGATTGTCAACAAATATAGGCCAAACCACGTGATTGGAAGTTATATATCTAGAACAATCAAATTCGAAGAAATGCTATGCTACAAATTTCAAATAAATTATTTTCTTATTTATTTCCCGCAGAAAATCATCAACGTAGGAGCACTACGTGATATAGCCCTCATGAAACGATATATGATATATAACCAAATGTATGTTGTTATTTCGATCTTGCAATACAGATTTTTCATCCATTGTTGTACCATTTTAGATTCTAAGGCTAATTTTCAATGCATTTAATAATGACGAATTTGTATTTAATGGATAACATTTAAGTAATCACAAACAATGTGCACACACAATGGATAACATCTAAGTAACCACAAACAATGTGCACACGCTTCCTTCCAAACATTTATAAAACAAATTTATTGTTCTTAATTACAAAAAAATATATATGAAAACAAATGACATATAGCCTTCGTGAACCAAAAAAAGGAAACAACATTGCATTTTTTTTTTTTTTTTGAATCCCTCAGCAACAACTCACTTCATTCACAAATATTAAACAACAATTTATGTGCTGGTATGAAGCAGGAGCAAACGCACAATGTCTAACCCAATGAACTATATTTTAATACATGTGAGCCCCCGAACTTTTATTCCAGAAAATACGATTCTTTGCCACAAATTTCTGACAATGAACAATGTTTAACGTTATTCGTAGTGGGGAAGGATATACCAATACAACTCTATTGCTGAATATGGATGGCAATTAAAAAAAAATTAACACGATATTTATACTCAGGCAATGTGCAAGCAGGTTGTATTGTCTGTTTAACAGGAATGATATTGAAGTTAAACAAACTACTGACGTAAAAGATGGAAAACTTTATCGCACATGCGAAATTTTTGAATAATAATCGTCATAAAACTTATGATACACAAAACAAACTAAAAGTAACAACCGCGTTACGATAGATACAAGCCGTGCAGAAACTTCAATAGAGCAGCTCAAGCAAACAATAACTAAACTTCGCGACCATTGTTCACTTTAGTCCAACTCGCAAGCATTGAACCTGCAGTTGTAATTTATTCTACACCGAGAAAAACAGAAAGAAAAAACAACGTATTGTATTGGAATTTATTGATCAAACAATGTAAACAAATTTACAAAATGTGGATAGAATCGAGAGAGAAAAAGAAATGTTAAAGGAAATTCCTAGACACTACTACTGCAACAAAGGTAAAAGGAAACGTCAAAACGACCAGCAGTCGTCAAGAAAGTGTTGTTAAAAGTGAAACTTATCATCATCGTCAAACAAAATAGAAAATTTATTTCCAACATCAAAGCAAATACAACAAATAACAAAAGATTTTACCTTGGAGATTATTGCAAGACGCTTTTTAAGTGCACGCCTAAAAATATGCAATAGTATTTCTATTGCTGACGCCTTCTTTGGAAATATTTCACACACATCACAAAAACGTGGTAAATTGAAAACAAAACCCCGGAGGATATCAACGAAAGTGAAATATTTTTGCACGCAAGTAAAAAGTTCAAGTGGATTTCTTAAAGGGTCATTGCACGATGAGGAGGAGCATGGAACACCTTAAACCATAATGTATACATTTATTACTTACTGCATTTCTAATATAGGATTTAACAAAAGGTTTTTTATTTCCATTAGGAAAAATATGTGACGTTTTTATAGCAAAAGTAATAAGTGGGAACAGCCAGAAAGAAGATGGGCGATTCAGGTAAGAGACATTATATAAAGTATTAACCCTTACAACGCATCAATTTCATCGCCATTATTATTAGTACGCAGGCAATATAAAAAAGTACTTCCATGTATTAACCTCATCTAAATCGACTAATTTATACGTATGGACATATGTTTCAATTGGAAAACATTTGCACAGAGGGTACTATACTAGTTCCAGATTTACAGTCATATATCAGTGACCACAGACTAACCCCTACCTAGACCCAAAAATACAGTTCTTTTAACTTGTTTGTAGGTTGGTTTTTGATACCCTCCACCATAGTATGGAGGGTATATTTTAGATCCCAGAAAATATATATATTCTAGATCAGCATAAAATATTATGTCGATTTAGCAATGTCCGTCCGTCTGTGGAAATCACTCTAGCTTCCGAACGAAATGAAGTAGGTTGATAAAATTTTACTCAAATGTATATTATGTTTGCAGGACTTTTGGTATTGAAAATGGTCAATGTAGGTCAACGTCTTCGTATAGCCCCCACATAACGGTACCTCCCGATAGTCGGTATTTTGATGATTTAGCGACATTATTTACCGGAATTGTTTCAAATTTGGTATTTGAAGTTCGTAATGAGTACTACAGCCTATGACAGAAAATTGTCTGTGCAGGTCTACATGTTCGTATAGCCCCCACATAACGGCACCTCCCTATATTCGGTATTTCGATGATCTTAGCGACATTGTTCATCAGATTTTTTTTTTTCAAATTTGGTATTTGAGGGTTTTTAATGTTCAACCCGGTCGAACCTTTTTTTACTTGTTTTCTACTTATTTGTTCACTTTAAGCGGATTTAGGTTGGCATGCTCTTATTTCGGATGACATGCCCTTGGAAAAATAATGACTTTGTTGGTCGATTTGTAAGTAGTTATGGCTGCAAAAAATGAATACGAAACCCATTATTTTTTAATAGGAAGTTATTGTTAATTTCACTCTTCGCAAAATATAGTCAAGGTATTTTCCCTACATAACCATACTTTCGGATTTTTGATATTCGATATATTGCTACTAAATCAGTTAAACATTGATATTATGGGTTCTTTCGAGGAAGATTACTTTCCATAAAAATTCAATATAAGTACTACCCCCCACCCACAAAATAGAACTAGCTTTAAGGATTTTGAAGATGGTCAATAAGGTAATAAATTATATAACGGACCGGCCAAATACAATTTGCTTTTGCCAGTTATTAATTTGGAGTTGTAATAATCTACTTCATATCACGATTTTGCAAATTGAATCCCTCTGTAGTTTAATCATCTAATATATTCATTATATCTTATCATTCACAACACAGCAATGCTTTTCATTTTCGATAACTGTAACCACCTGTTTCGCTGTGACGTTTTTACAGCTACATCACAGTAAAAGTCACGTGATGTTGAAATGATCGCAGCATTGCACAGCAAAATTTTTCGTTTACAAATTACAAATTTCACAGCACTTTTGGTATTTTTCACTTGCGCGCAGCTACATGGTAATCGACAGTTGCTTCACTCAGAGACCTTTGATCCATTGTATTCATCCAAGGAAGAATAGATTCACGGCCGAGTTAAAATTACGTGGTGTAGAGTCGGTCATATCAAAGATAAGCAACAACAGTGGTTTTTGCATATTATGACTGTGATACAGCTTTTGCTCTTGAAACAAAACACTACCAGCTGCATAGCGACTGCAAACTTTATAGAAATAAAAATTCAGTCAATAATTAAATCGAAGTTTTCAAAAGATCCTGAAGTTATTCAAGCGAGAACTTCGTTTATAAGATATTAGCTGGCCCCGGTCCGCGTTGCCGGCCCGTACTCTTAGTCTTTAATGCATATTTTTTGAAGCAAAAAAATAAATCACCGATCTGGCTATTAGTCACAATTTTTATAATTAGTATTGACTCCATAGTAATTTCTAAATATAAATAAATATTCATGTCAATCATCATCATATAGAACATCTATAATAGCCCCATGTGAAAACTCAGCTCAATTTTCGGTATTGTAACGATCTTAGCAATATTTTCAATTCAAATGAGCTGTAATTTGGAATTTGTATTTCCATCGTTCGCTGCCGTGTTTCTTTCTTATATTCGTATTTTTTTTCATGTTTCTGCCACAATTTCTGAATGAGTCGCAGGTTGACATCCTATCCTATTCATTTTTTCATGAGAATTTTCAAGAGAAAAATTATTCGTGAAAGAATTTAAGAGTGACTATATTTAGAGCACTCCAGCATTTAAATGTGAATAAATCTTTTGTGCCTCGTACCATCGCTCCTTACCGTGATACTGGCAGCGTAGCCCGACGTCAAGGAAGTGGACGGAAGAAAACAGCAACATCACCAGAAATGGTTCGAAAAGTAAAGAAGCAACTGAAAATGTGCACCTTCGATTGGCCACCAAAACTCAAGCGCCGGCCATGGCCATAACAGCCGATAATCGCGAAAATATTCTGGAGGGTGTGTTAAATCCTTGGACACGAAAACATTTTGGCCACAGACCTTAGACATTCCAAAAGAACTCAGCACGCGTCACCCAAAAATGGTTACAAAATTATGTTCCTCGCTTCATTTTCAGCGCACAATGGCCACCAAAATCTCCGGATACAAATCCATTGGACTATTGTGTATGGAGTATTTTAGAAAGCAAGGTTGGCACTAAAAATTTAAAAAAATTAAAAGAAAATGTAAAAATTATGGCGTTTGGCTTTGTTGCAGTTTTTTTATCTCACCCTGTATATATATATATAGATTGAAACCCTGACAAACTAGGAACGGTTGGATACCTTTGTAGTTATTTAAAAATTTCGGGGAATCCTGTCCAGATGGTATCGGACACTTCCTAATAGATAGATTGGGCAGTAAATTAAAGATTGTAAAGGAATCTAAATGAAAAGTCTTTCAAATATCTAAATTACGCATTTAGCAGCAAAGATACGCCATTTCGTATAAACAAGGCTCTAATCTAGAGTAAAAAAGAATTCTTACCTTTTTTTTAAATTCTCTGCCTGGGCGGCTCAAGTATCTATCAAGCTATCTAGTCCTTACAATGTCAGTCACTTAATTGACAACAAATCAGATGAACTTTCTTTGTGATCTGTTCATAAGCCATAATGAATCTCTTCCAAAAAAATCCAAATCCAAATCCAAAAAAATATTTGTCGAATTAAGCTGTGTTTTAGGAGGGAGGGCCGAAAAGTTTACCATAGGTGTTTTCAAATAGCTTTAACCTGGGCGAAATATGTCACATAATGGCGGACATGATCATGGACTTGTAATTTTTTTCTAAATTCCATTATATACTGCCTCGGAGGAGAGACGCAATAAACCTTCTGACACAATTTTTGGAAAACTATATATAATTCACAATTCCATTCATTTCATATCACTACCCACATAGCTTTTCATTAGGTTAATGAACAACACCATTTAACCTTAAAGCTCAACACGTATTACAACAAAAAAGTGTGCGGTGGTGTCATGACACGACACTTGAAACGAAATGCACAGCAATTAAAATGCAAATCCTGGCGGTATTCAAAACTAACAACGCCACCAGCTATTAGAGCCGTGAGATAAATGGCGGCACGCATTCATAGAAAACCGTACGTGTCAAAAGAAAAAGTAATAGTTTTGCCAATGGCAAACAGGGAGTGAATGGGAGAACCATGACACCCATGGTAAGTACATTATCAAATCCTGATAGGTGCTAAGCTCAAGAAATAAAATCGGTACTGTGGTGGGTGAGGTAAGTGCCTTTTATTCTCTAAGGATAATAGGAGTTCACAGAATATGTGTACACGTGTATGTAGGTCATAATATTGAGAATACCATTTGTGAATGTGTGTATATTTTTGTTAAGAGATATCACATAGCCCATAAGTGTTCTTCATTTTATGGTCGGGCCGGAAATTTGAAAACGAAAAAAAAATGATTTCCCATATCCTCGCAACAATTTAATTACAATTCAATAAAGTAAAAAGAAAAATGAATTGGATTTAGAGCCTGAATACCTTTGCGTCAATGCTAAGTGAATTTAGATTCGCAGTACCTTTGGAATAGACCACAAGTGTTGTGGTGGAAAGTAAACCAAAAATAAAAATTACTGTTTGAAGAAAAATAATAATGTTGGGTGTTGCAAAGGATCCGTTGGAGCATACTAGCATGTATGAACGAATGGAAGAGGGTAAATATTTGGTGAATTTTCGAATCAAGTGTTGTCAATTGCAGAAATTGGATAGATTAAATCCACAAATAACACGAAATACTAAATTATTGCTGATTTGAGTGGAAATTGGGGACGAAACCTTAAAAGGGATTGAAAGTTGTGAGGATTTGTTACATGAGGTCTATTCTAAAAATCAAACCCAAATGTCAATTAATAGATGATTTGGTAAAAAATTAAGATCGAATTCATCAAGAATCCGAAACTTAAGCGGAAATGTTATGCAAGAGTTTCCCGGAATGTCGTTCGTTTGGGGCAAGAAACTTCAGATAATCAGTAGGCACAGATTTATTGTGATAGACGAACTAGAAATCGACCTAGAATTTTACGTTCATTATGATACTTTATATTATGTGGTTGGTTCGATGAGTTACATGCATGATAAAAGTAATATAACCTCCATATGGTAAAGGTTATACAAATTGGAAAATTTTAGTACTAAAATAGTTACAGATAATTCCATGCAAGTTGGATTTCAAAATTTAAAAAATTCTGGATGGAGACTGAAAATATGTCTAAAAGCGGTGCTTTTTTTAGGTCTACTGTCATATAACTAAATATATTAAAACTTTTGGACAAACCGACTGATATTTTCAAACTTTGTATTAGTTTTAAACATCTCTATGGACTTCCTATTGAAAGGTTTCTACCCATAATTTCAACAAACTCACACACAGATTACTGTGTAGATGTTTCTTCGTCTTTTGATGTTTTTTTGGCAAAGGCAAGAAATCTGTGTGATTCTCATTCACTTGAGAATGCTCGATACTTTTAGAGCTGAAAAAAAACAAGTGAACATTCCCTTCGCCGGGATGAAATCATGATATTGTCAGTTTCCTTTTGAAAAACCTGGCTCTCTTTAATTGAAAGTAATATGAAGTTAAGTCAATGGGGAATACTCTATACTTAAGCAATCAATCTCAGCAATTTTTACTTGAGAAGATGTGTTTTGTATTCTGATCTATACCCGAAGACAATAACTAATTGGTATTTTTAATTTGAATTTCAATCTAACGTTTATTATTTACAGATAGCGAAGGTAGTGATGGAGAGGGTGGCATGGGTAATGTTTCTCGCGTCATTATCCGGCCACCCGGTGTAAGTGGCAAAGCGAAACGTGGACAAATTTGCTTCGATGCTGCATTCGAGACGGGTAATTTGGGTAAAGCGAACTTGATAGGAGATTTCGAATATGATTTATTCCTACGACCTGATACATGTAATCCCCGCTATCGATTTTGGTTTAATTTCACTGTGGACAATGTGAAACAAGATCAAAAAGTGATCTTCAATTTGGTGAATATAAGTAAATCACGAAACTTGTTCAACTCGGGTCTAACACCGCTAGTGAAATCATCTTCGCGTCCTAAATGGCAACGTTTGCCAAAGAAACATGTCTTCTATTATCGTTCACCGCATCATCAGAATCACTACGTGCTGAGTTTTGTGTTTTGTTTTGACAAAGAAGATGATGTCTATCAGTTTGCCTTGGCTCCGCCATACAGCTATTCACGTTTACAATCGTACCTGAACGTTATTGAGAATCGTCAAAATCAGGCTGAAAAGAAATTCACCAAGAGCGTGCTAACTAAATCACTGGTAGGTTGTGATTAGAAATGAAATTAAAAAAATGTGAATATTTTTTGCAAATTTCAGCAAAACCGCAATGTGGATCTAATAACAATTGACCACGTTACTGGCAAACTGAAAACGAATCGCATTGATCGCAGCTTTATCCGTGTCATTGTTATTTTGTGCCGTTCCCATGCTAATGCCAGTCCAGCATCCTTTATGTGCCAAGGTTTTTTGGAATTCTTGTTAAGTAGCCATAATATAGCGAAAATATTACGTGAAAATTTCGTATTTAAAATTGTGCCAATGGTCAATCCGGATGGTGTGTTTTTGGGTAATAATCGTTGCAATCTCATTGGCCAGGATATGAATCGTGTGTGGCAGGTTGCTACTGAATTTTCACATCCGGAAATATATGCCATCAAAAATATGCTAAGAGAAATTGATAATTCGGATGTAAGTATAAAATTATTTTATTTCTTTATTTAATAAATAAAATATTAGACATTTAAATGATAATCACTTCGGTGATACTAAAGATCTTTGGAAAAGGATTTTGAGTGAAATGGGAGTTGGCTGAACTTGGCTGTTTGAAGCCAATGGGAACCAATCAATGATATTTAACTAGGAACAATGACCTTTGACCATGCGAATAATATATTATTAAATAGGTCATTGATCTCTGATCTATATCCTTTGGTCAATGATATCGATGTCATGAATGTCATGCCAATCGATCAGATGTAAATAACAATTGACAATTACCAGAAGAAGACAAGCTGGTGTAATCCTAAGGATTAAGGTCAACAATGGCAAAATGCTGTCATACACCGCGAACATCAAGATCGCAGGTTATACCAAGATTTTTGTTAGAAACTTTTTTCGATGATCTCCGACATTAAAATAATTATGATATTCTTCTCTGATAAAGATATAAACATAACATTTTGCATTTTTCTCACGCCCTCTCCCTTCCTTCTGTTTTTCTCATTATAGTCGTATCAAATAGATTTCGTCGTTGATTTACATGCTCACACAAGTCTTCATGGTTGTTTTATTTACGGCAATACCTACGAGGATGTCTATCGCTATGAAAGGCATTTGGTGTTTCCTCGCCTGTTTGCAGGAAATGCACCCGATTATGCTGCGAACAATATGATATTCAATGCTGATGAAAAGAAATCTGGTTGTGCTCGACGTTTCTGTTGCGAACGTTTAAGTGATACGGTTAATGCCTATACACTGGAAATATCAATGGGGGGTCATTATCTAAAGGATGGTAAAACTGTGGCGGCCTACACTGAAGAAGGATGTAAGTAAAGAGGGAAGTCAATAATATACACCTAATGTGTGTTTTTGTTTTCAGACTATCGTTGCGGCCGCAACTTAGCTAGAACATTTTTACAATACTATCGTTTCATAAATGTACTGCCAGTCCCGCTACCCACAGAGGTTCGTCAAAAGAAACGTCGCCCCAGAACTCATCAATCGAGATCACGTTCAAAAACACGTTACGAAGTTAAACCACGACCGAAAACAACACGTTGCTACGCACCAATATCTTATACAAATCTTTCGATATGTTATGATTCGGGTGGTTCATCAGATGAAGGCGGATTTTCCCCAACAAGAGCTGTGGCCCCTGGCAGTAGTCATTTTAGCGGTTACCGACATTATCGTCGGGTTGCCAGTTCAACAACAATACCCTCTACATCCAGTCAACAACATCAACAAACGCACGATCAATTTGCTCTGCTGCGTATTAAATCGGGACGCTTCGATTTGGCTCATGATCCACTGTTGCATGACTATTGTGGTAAAACTAAGAGTCAATCGCCAGAGAAACAGACACGATTTGAGGTGCCAGTTAATGTGCCACCAAAACCATATTTGTCGATAATCGATTTGAACCAATTAACCAGAGGAAGTTTGAAAATGAAATCAGCAAGTTTTGAGGATTAAACGTTTGAAGGATGATTTTAAAGCGATTGTATTTCCATTCTAAATTTACTTCAATGCTAATTAATGCTTTACAATGTACAAATATATATAATATAATGTGAAATAAAAGCTTCTAGCCACATTAACTTTTAAAATCAGAGAATGTATGCATTCAACCAAAAAAAAATAGGGATAAAATTTAGGTTAGAGGCATATCAGTAACAGAAAGAATTTGTAATATTAAACGCCGCTTCGCTCGGTAAAATTGAAAATCGGCGATCATTTGCTTTAATTTCCATTTTGAAAAAAGATTCGCTACGCGAACAGAGTTGCTCTAAATAGTCTTCTGACAGTGGAATGATTTTCTAGTACAAAAAACCCTCAATATATGTATATGTCCTTCTCGTGTGTTTTTTAACAGTAAGATAAATACCACCTGAAAGGCTGTTAAAAATCCAATGAAGATGGGAAAAGGTATTTTCTCTTTAGAAGGCATTCGAAGTACTGAAACTATATCCCTAACTAACTAAACAGTGGTAGAGAGCAAACCAGTAAAGAAAGTCTTAAAGTCGGGCGGGGCCGACTTTATGATACCCTACACCACTTTGCTAATTTAGTAGAGCTCCACATAACAATTAAAAATTTTTATGGGAGAATTCAATCACACGCTATGATTATAATTATAATTTAAAGTTCAAAAGATTAAATATGCTGAAGCATTTGTATCTTTTAAATTCGGATTTGTATTGCCAATTTGATATATATGGGAGCTATATCCAAATCTGAACCGATCTTGATAAAATTTGGCAAGGATATTTCTGAGCTGTATTTCATATATTTCCCTGAATATCGTTGTTACGGAGTGCATATTACGGCTGTGGGTAACAAATATAACAAATCGGATGAACAATATATAGGGGAGCTATAGCTATATCTGAACCGATCTTCACCAAATTTGACATACTAACTTCTGGACTCAATTCGGTCGTAAGTGCCAAATTTCATCCCATTTGGTGCACAACAAAAGGTAAATCGGACTTATGTATGGGGATATATCCAAATCCGAACCGATTTCGATAAAATTTGGCATACTTATTTTCAGGCCTAATTTGGTTGTATGTGCACAATAAATTTTTACCGATTATATCCAATTTCAATAGGGTTCGTCCTTGGGCCAAACAAATGATTTGTGCAACATTTCATCTGGATCGGGTAATAAATGCAAACTGTACTTTGTTCACAAAAATACATGGACAGACGGACGGACGGACATGCATAAATCGACTCAGAATGTGATTCTATGCAGATCATCAAAAGGAACTATGGGCCTATCTCCTTTCCTTTTGCCTGTTACAAACAAATGCACAAAGACAATACCCTGACCACCTTGTGGTATAGGGTATAAAAATATATATTTATGTGTCGTATCCGTGGTGTTAAGGGGCATTTACGACAGAGGATCGCGCACAGTGTCACGACCGAGGACGAAGGTAATTGATAGAAAACAAATGAATTTGAAGGAATCTGAATTTTGGCCTTGATACGCAAGGTTTTAAAATGGATCGTGTGGACCCGCGCTACTGAAGTCTGACAAAGGAGCCAGCAGAGGGGAATGTTACAGGCCAATTTCGCTTTTGCTGCCAGTAGCAAGGTTTCTTTCGGCGTTACTCCTCTAGCATTGCACGCCGTTGATTCAATGACTCAACCGGAACAAACCGTGCCACAGAACAGTAATAGTGACTTCTGACTTATCAAAGGCCTCCCGCAGAAACGTTGTACGCCAGTCGTACATAGAATTCCGGAACAATAAGTTTAAGCCTCGTAACGTTAAACAGTAAGTTTCCAAATGTGGGGTGATAACTCGCGAAGCTTGTTGCCTTCTTAACTGCAGGGGATACGAAAATATCTGCCAAATCAACGGCCACACTATTTACCACATGGACTGCGGAGATGAGAACACATCTGAATATGCAAGACGAGGGGCACATAATTCCGACCACTAACTACCCCAAAATCCTTGGGGTTACAATCGATAGCACGTTGAAGTCGACTGCGCAAGCCACAGCTATCTGCAACGAATTGAAAAGTAGGAACAAGGTCCTCGTGTCCTGACGGCAGCATTTGGGGCACGAATAACGAACATTATCGACCTCTTTTACCGCGATAGGTCTTGTGGTCTGTGGTTAACAATGCGGCTCCAGTGTGGTCTTTGAATACGATTGCAACGCAATGGAAAATATTCAGAGCCGCCAGAATGCCGCCCAGTGGACCATTTACATATGGGGACGAAGGTCCTTGCCTTACGTCAACATAATCATATGCTTTCGTTGCAGTACCTGTTTGGGCCGACGGAACTCCTCCACCTAGACGTGTCAGGAGGACCTGCATCATCTAGAGAGAGATCTCCAACGATACAAAAGAGAACCTTTCGATTAGGAAGCCTAATTATATTACTGTTACAACCACAACAACAAGTAATATAACTTTTTTACAGCGACTATTTGGAGATTAGTTAGTATTACAAGACACAACCATGAAGACACAACCTTTTAAATAAGAGAGGCAGAATAGAATCTGGCTAAGAATAACTGATGGTTTTGTGTTGGAGAATAAATTGAGTAGCAGTGTCGTCGCCACTCTATTAAGAAGCCATAGTCCTCATATTACAGTCACCTCCGATGATTCCTACCACAAGTCTTTGTTCAGGTTTCTCTACGCAGCTGAGCGACCTCGTTTTCTTCCCGGAGAGTGTATACCAAATTTCGGGACATTACATTTCCTTTCATCTAGGGTACGTACACCAACATATGAGTAGTTTATTCATAATTTCTATGAAATGTTTAATTTATGGTTTCTCTTACAAAAAGCAACAGGAATTTCTAATTAGATTCAGTTATCCCCTAATTATGAATCGCCAAAGCTTTAGTGCTGTCACGAAATTATTATAGCGAAAATAAACATTTCCGAAGGTGAACCATTCAAGTGTGCATAATTTGATACAATTAATAATGCTAGACAATAATTCTAGACAGATACAAGAAGCAAATATAGCTAAATGTAGACAATTAATATTTGTAGCAATTAGTTTTTAGAAATTCTTTAGATATTTTCAAAGATCATCAAAGAAATTAAATAACCTTAACAACAAACTCATAGTATTCGAATTCTTCGAAGTTTTTCTTATATTTCCATTTATGTGTCACCCGCTGGCCGTCCAAACGGTAAAAAATACTAACAAGAAATATTGCTTAATATAAAAAAGGCCGAGAAATTCTATTTTCCCATCATTCAAGTAAACACAAGTTATGGTATACTCAATTCCAAATTGGCTATATGCCAGTCGTATGTCTGCGATGGTATTATGTGTCTGCCTATCAACCAGTCAACGAAAAAGGGAAGCTTAAGAAAAAAACGTATCAATGAACTTTTTAACAATAAATTTAATAAAAAGTTTACCGCATGTGTAGTTTTGTTTCTTTTTAATTTGGTGGGCATGTGATACTACAATGGATTTGTTGTTATATTTTCTAGTTTGCGGCTACTGTCTGTTTGACTTCTCATAAAATCAAATATATTTTGATATGTCTTGTTGCCTTCTTCTTCTCGTTATACCTACATTTTACACCGCATTTATTTACAAAATTTATCAATATGTGTTATATTTAACGAAGTAATTTGTGCTATCTTATCTTATAGGTTTGCTAATTACTAAAGATAAATTCAATTAATTATATATATTTAAAAATGAATATTGAGTAGATAGTTGATAGATAATTTGTAACAATTATAGGATTGTATCAAATTTTAAAATAGTTAGGAACCATTAACAGAATGTATTTTGTTGCTAAAAGAATATGGAATAAAAAAAGGTCACGAAGGAAATACATCAAATATTTCGATTTCATAGTTTCGTTAAACATTGTTTATCTCTCTGTGTTCATTAGAGCGAGAAAGATAATCGAATATATATTAGACTTCATTTTGTCTGTGAAACTACAGTAACACGAATCCTGAACTTTGCAGCAGCACAAATAAAAGAGCAGTGTTTTCAATTTACTATTTTCGCAAACTTTTCCAATTCAAAAATTATGGAACAAAGCAATTTTTTCTTTGTATAATACGTATAATTTGTATAATACGAACATATAAACGAATCCAAAACATATCGGGATTACTTCCCAACCACAACAAAAATATTATGTTTATAAATAAATACGTACATATATAATGCGTATAAAATGATGTTGATAAGAACGACAATACTACACAACATTCACCCAAGAATATTCTTTAATTGAATTCAATGATGCGGTAAATTTATGAAATCGAAAGTAGACTACATTGCCCATATACAGACAGCAACGATGCAAATGGGATTTCATTTTCTTTTGAGTTCAGAATGGGGTCATATTGAATACAAATTTCAAGCTATATATGAAATAAATATTACTTTATATCAGGTATTACAAAATATTAAAAACCAAGTAAACCGATTTTGTCAATAATGTGCTTCATATAAGAAATTTTCTTTTTGGGTCGTTAGTCATACCAAATTGAACGCTTTTGTGATTTACAAAATTCTGAACGTAGTTTTGGACTCCGCTCGGTTTGTGTGTAATTTATAATTTTTGATACATTTTGGGCTGAGGGAGTTGACCGGTATATTTTATCTTTATGCAAAATATAATCGGAATGTTGAGATACGCTTTAAAGAAAGTCGTGTTATGGGTTGTTACTTTTCAAAATTTCATAATTTTACGAGTTACTCCTCTTGACCTTTTTAATGAGAAGCTGTTATAAAAATATTATAGTGTTATAAGTGATGGTTACGGTATTTTGAACCTTCGTAGGGTAGGGAATTTATTTCGTTACATTTGTACACAATTGTTAACTCAGTTTTAAAGTCAATTTCAAGCCATACACTTTTCATTGGTAGGTAGGCTTGTAACATAAAGTTAACTTGGTTAAATTTTTTGTAGAGTTAGTTTCTATCCACTTAGAACGCAAAACAGAACTATAAAATATCAAAAAGTAGAGGTATCATTATACCGGACTGTTGACGTGCTTGCAAGGCGGTTTTCCATCCAATTAGATTCTTAGATCTTAAGTTGCAGTCAATTCATGGCATATTGTGACTGAAACCATAGGGATATGGATTAATATAGTTCTAGACCAATTCTATCTCCTCAAAATTGCGGTGGGCAGCTTTCGGGATTTTTACATATATAGACATGTTTACCCTGAGTATGGGATTATAAATACTTTTACATGGAGAAGGTTATTTGAAGCCAAAATAAACAATATGAAAGTTTATGAAAATATCTATCCAACGGGATAGTACAATACAAACTGGAGTTAAACAGCCATGTACCCGATTTTTTAACCAAATTATCTGGTCCTTACAAAATGGTATCAAATGCATGTCCAACATACTTTACGCTATACCAAGTTTTTCTAAAGTAGACCTCGGCCGCGTCCTCATAGTACAATAAGGCGTACAATAGTCAATAAGCTTCCGAATTAAATGAAGTAGATTGATAAATATTTTGTCTGCAGGACTTTTGGTATTGAAAATGGTCCACGTCTTTGCATAGCCCCCATATAACGGAACCCCCCAATATCCGGTACTTTGATGATTTTAGCGTCATTATTCACCGGAAATGTTTTAAATTGATATTTAAAGTTCGTAATGGACACTACAACCTATGACAGAAAAATGTCTGTGTAGATGCACATTTTGGTATAGACCCCACATAATGGTTTTTTAAAGTTCCGCATTTGAATATTGCGATGTCTTATGACAAAATTTGCCTATGCAGATCCACGTCGTCGTTTAGAACCTAATGTGAGGTACATTTGGTATTTTTAAGATTTTAACAGAACTTTTAACGGATTTTATTTTTTTGAGAATTGCTAAATGGTGAAGGTTCGGCCAAACTTACAGCTTTTTTACATGTTTTTCTTTTAAACAATAAATATGAACAAATAATTTGACATTAATATGCCTAGCCATGATGCCAAGCAGCTTATGTGCCCAAACCTTAATTTCTGTAGCTTCAAAAAGTATGTCAACAAAAATAGCAGCAATTTGGAAATACAAACATACGTACTTTATGTTCTGCAAAATAGGTTCATTTTTAATGCTTTTCAAAAATTCTTGACCAAAAGTCAAGGTTTTGATGATAAACTATGGTTTGTGACAATAGTCACATACATTTTGTTGGATAGTTGTATCATAAGCTTTCAAATGGTACTCGTAATTATAGACCTAATACAACGGGATAGGTGTTACCCTGTTTTTGTGTTCTCCTTGAGTTTAACCATAATCAGGTTGATATATTTACCTTTCAGAAATTTCAAGGCGAATTCAAATTCAACATAAGCCTCTATCTGCCTAATTTTTTATTTGATTCGCGAGAGGCCCGTGAATAATTTTGGTAAAAATTTAGAACGAACTCAGCCGCTATAATCGCCATAAGCCAAAAAACGTAACTCCAAGCCAGCATCAATCGCCGGCTTCGGCAAACACATAAGGTAGCGCAACAAAACGACTAAGAACTTGTTTATCTAAAACATATGTTAGTTATTTTCTAACTTGAATTTGGCTCCGATTAGAAAACAAACATACGAAATGCAATAACAAAACACGCACAAAAACACAAGCCGCGAAAACAAAAGCAAACCGAATAAATCAAAAAACGAAAAGAAAGTAAAAAATTTTGAAAATAATTTACACTTCTCTGGAACAGTATTTGGAGTATAAGGAGGGCACTAAATGAGGAAAGAAAAACCAAAAAAAGGGGATAGACAAAAAAAGACGAGACAAATATAAAAACATGTGGTGGGGGAATATAATCAATAATAATTCAATTAACACTTATATGTAAAACAAAAAACATGTATACTATAACACCTTCTGTACATACAAATGAGAAAAAAATTAGAATATTCGTACTTATTTCGGGAATTTTATATTTTCTCATTTGAAAGGAGGCCTTATAATACGCATTTTTGTCAATGATTTAAGCATGTTGCAAGGCGGGGGGTCATCAAATGGGAAATTGGGTTGGTTATGTTCTAATGGAATTACGCTGTACAAAGGATAGACAAGACCTACAAAGAAACAGGATAAAAGTACAACACAACATTTACTTGTTACGTTGCAGCAACATTTCTCTGAACGCTCTTTTTACAATTTCCAAATAAATCAATTTTTTTTTTGTATTTTTAATCTTCACAGGTCACACACAAATGCTGGAATATTCCGCTTGTCTTTGTTCTTGTAGCACCAAATTTTCGCTCCGATTCACATGCACTGAATGCTTTAGACCAACTGCCAGATTATTTTCAATTTTGCCTTTATGAAAAACACTCTTCTCAATTCTCCGTTAATTTATTATCACCTTTTTTAATGCAAATATTTTTTTTGCAACAAAGGTGTATACACAACAAGAACATACACACAGATAATAAAACAACACCAAAAAGAAGAGTACGGTTTTTATCTTATTGCACAGTAAAGACGGCGATGTCGTCCCCAACAGCGGCTATCAAACAAAACACACACATCGTAGAATGGGCAAAATATGCTCAAAAATAGCGAAAACCAACAAAATGTCAAAAATGTGTAATTGTTGCTCTTTCATGGTTTGCCAATTATTATCCTTCTTCTTCGTTTCTTGTTTATCCGCTGTGCATTGTTTGTTTTTATTAGATTGACATTGTCACCACCACACCAGATGCAATGCTTTTTTTTTGTAAAAATTACCAGAAATTTGAATTACTTTTTAAAAATTTCGTAGAGAGAAAGTGTGCCAATTGGTTTTTATATAACTCTTAATAGATCTTCTTTAAATTCGTGCCAAAAAAAAACTTTGTTGTAATTTTTTTATTGCTATGCTACTAATCCGCCGCGTTCACGAGTTTTTTCTGTTTCGTTCGTTATACTCCACGCTAGGGATATGTAACTCGACTTTCGATTAATCGACTTTTGGTACTCAAAGTTCTGAAAGTCGTAGTCGACTATGGACTGTGGTGAAAACCGATTAATCGATTATTTGTAATCGATTGTGCGACTCAATGGTGGATAACTAAACATAAAAATATCCTAAAAATATCTTTGTATTTTTTCGAGATCGGTTAAAATATGGATAAACCTCCCATATACATTTCCCTCTAATTTTATGTATATTGTACACTAGTGCCCTCTATTTTTCCATTAAGATGTTTCATCCGATTTTATTCTAAAACTTTTAACATCACATACTACATAAAATTACCTCAGCTAAGTTGAATGAAAATTGATTAAGATATACCATTTCAATCGCTTTAAAATTTAAACCAATTAAGTTGCCGATATTAACGTTTATTTTCTACAGATAACTCTACTAAATATTCAAAGGCCGGTTCATGGTAGAAAAAATACAGCAGATGCATCAAGGTTTGGGAACATTAATATGTCAAAATGTCATTTTTCTTTTCAAAAATAAGTTGTTTTCTTACACGACGCCATTCTAAAGGTGAGGGTACATAAGAAGCTTGGCATCGTGGCTAGGCATATTGATGCCAATTTATAAGGGGAAACGCCGGCAGGATTCGAGTGCCATGCCATGTCACAAAGTGTGTCATGCAAAGTCCTCAAGCTGCTTATGTACCCTAAAGGTGAGAATACATATGCCTCTCTAACTGGCTTAAATCATCGGCTGGCTTCTTCGTAGAGGAACAAAGGAGTCTTAGGTTGACTTAGTTCGATTTAGGCCCTACACTCCTTTGTTCTTTTCCAAAAAAGCCAGCCGATGACTTAAGCCAGTCAAAAAAAAACTTATGTTTCTTTGAAATATGAACTATCCATTCAAAGAAAAAATGAATAACTTAAATCGTTTATTTTATTTACGTACTGACATTTCTTGGCGCTGAGCTTAGACCTCAACGTCGAGATACTGTTAAAGAACGGCGTAAAATTTCTGCACGACACAATCATAGCGCTGGCGTCAGAACATTACAGGGTTACCTAAAATTCGACGTAGCGTACACTATTATTCAATTTCAACTGGTAAAATGTTGTGTACATCCGTATTACCCATATGCGTCAAGTCCATATCTCGGAATCTACCAAATAATAAATAATCTACCAAATAAAAAACACAAAAAATAATTTTTTTCAATTGTCTATATTGAAAATGTTTAATTTTTAAATTTTGAACGCCCGACGTTTTTTTGTAACTCTCATATGAATACATGTGTTTAAATTGTGTGGTGAAAAACGTCGACTGAGTACGAATTTTACGTAACGCAAATTTAATAAGGGCTGCACAGTCGGAATTTTTTTTAATGTCGTTTTAAAATTATAAATTAAAATTCTTGGAATTACAGCCCCTTTAAATTTCGACGGTCAGTACAAACACAGATTTCTTGGTAAAATGGCTTGCACGGCCGAAACTTATTGAAGAAGTTCCATTGTATTCCAATCCAAGCGCAAAATCTATCTCCATGAGTTGATTTTATGATCTACAGATGAAAAGACAAAGAAATATTGGATTTGATTAACATTGGAATTTTGTACGCTTGATGTATTTCGGTAATATTTGTATTTATATTGAAACTTTTTTTCTGTTCCAGAACTGCACGAATGTAAAACTTCTTACTACAATAACCGATTTTTCCTCTATGATAAACTAACTAACTAGTAAATTCTTGCAGGTTCTGGAACAGAGCCATAGTGTTTTTGCAATTAATGTGTATACATTTATTAGTAAGAGTTAACTAATTAAATAAGAATAAATAGGCGGTAAGTTATGTCAATAAATTTTAGTATATTTCAGGCTCTTTTACTTCCGTTTGGTTTGTGTGAAGATATAGCCTTGGCGTATTCATGTAATAATTTTGACATCTTGTCGTATTAAGCAAGCTTAATTCCAAAATATTTTCGGAAACTCAAAAATCAACTTGCTAAATTGAAATAGAATATACAGGGCCATGGTATAATTATTGCAGGTAACAGCAGGTCCCCGCTGATTTGACTCTATAGTAATACTAGTGTCAAACTCGATATGAAGTTTTGTGGTATAATTCCATTTCTTGATATACAATAGGTATACCTTTGATATAAACTTTCACTGCAGGGCTATGTGAACATATTTGTTTGCCTAATAATAGAAAAAATCGCTGTTGTACTTAACAAAACGCCAAAGGCGATGGTTCGGAAATTTTTTGCAGTTAAGGAACAGCGACACAACGTTAGATAATATATTCGTATATTTCATGTTTCCTAAAATTTCAAAAAATAGAATAGTTTATGTATGTATGCTGTTTGGTTTTAACTTGAAAGGGATGTTGCCCTTTCCACGATTTTCTAGTGATTGCTTGAAGTGTTGAGAGATTAGGACCAACAGGTAACAACTATACATCCAGGGGAATGACGTGAAAACATTAAAATTAAATATTTTAAGAACTATTCTTCTGCATTTTCGATTTAATAATCCAAATTCCAAACATTTATATGTTTTAAATTAAAATAATTTATTGAAAATTAATTATTTTGTTTACATTTTTGGACACATAACTCTGACTCTCGTATTACGTACAAAAACAAATTTGTATGTGGTTGTTGTTACGATTGTTGTACAACAAAGCTTCCTGTTATCTGTATTATTCTAACATGGGTACTGGGCGTAAGCGTTTAACATTCAGATTTTTTTTTCGAAAACTCAAAATTTAACTTGCCGAATTGAAAAATAATGTACATGGCATAAGGACTTTGCAATTAAAATTTTTAAACATTGACATCATGTCGTATTCAGCTAGCTGAATTCCAAAACTTTTTCGAAAACTCAAAAATCAACTTCCTGAATTGAAATAGAATGTACTGGGCATTAGCGTTTTACAATTAAAATTTTTAAATTTTGACATCATGTAGTATTCAGCTAGCTGAATTCCAAAATATTTCCGAAAACTCAAAAATCAACTTGCTGAATTGAAATAGAATGAACTGGGCATTCGGGTTTTACAATTAAACTTTTTAAATGTTGACATCTTGTTGAATACAGATAGCTGAATTCCAAAATTCAACTTGCTGAATTGAATTAGGGTTTTACAATTAAAATTTTTAAATTTTGACATCTTGTTGTTTTCAGCTAGCTGAATACCAAAATTTTGTCGAAAACTCAAAATTCAACTTGCTGAATTGAAATAGAATGTATTGAGCATTAGGGCTATGCAATTGCAATTTTTTAATGCCCTGATGTACAGGGCATTAGTCTTTTACAATTAAAATTTGAAAATATCAAAATATAAAAACAAAATACATATCTAGCATAAATTACTGAGAATTCTCAACTGGTTGAAGCTTCGCATATTTTAACGAAAAAAATACACATTGTAACATTATTATTAAACTTTAGAGCGAAAAAATGAGGATATTCTTTTTTGTTACCTCGCCCACAAGGGTAGAATATATAAAAGAATTATAACAAGCATATAATATGTAATCAGTCCCCGACTATACGCACAATTCGAAAGCCACAAACCGTGCAAATCGTAATGATCAACATTTAAAATACTCATAAATCTCATTGAATTCGAAGGATTTATTTGAATTGATTAACACTTTAGTCATCATTATAAGTTGTTCTATCATACACAGATTATGTTCAGTGATGGTCTTTTGTTGTTCTTCTCCCTTGCTATAAAATGGTCTAATTTGCAGAAATGCAAATGTTATATACTGCTGTACTACAGACACACATTTGTTCTAATCAAAAAAACTCTTTTTGACAATGAACTCTTAAGTGACCCCGTAGATGGTCAAAATGCATGTCATCAAAATCGTGTAGGTGTGCATAAAGCTTTCAGCGCAGACACTTCATGTATTCATTTTGCTTTCGATGTTGTGCTGTGCAGACAATATGGATAATAGACGATGCATTTTTGGCGATTTTGGCCTTGTGATTAAAATCACAATAATAAATAAAATAATCTGTATGAAAGAGTGATACAAAAAAAGAAATTAATTCACTCATGAGAATTTATTAGTTGAATTAAGAGTGTCATCGGCAAACGATATTAAACATTTTTTTAATAATGGATAATTCAACTTATTATTTTTCTTTAATAACCCGACTGTTATATTTTTCACATTTAACTGCCCAAAGCTCTGCCAAAGACCCGTGAACTTCCAACAACTCAACACATTTTTGTTTTCTCAGTATCCGACATCTTTATGCACCTATTCGCTTTAAAAAAAAAACGTCTGATTTGCTTTATGCATCGTATGTGTGACGCATACATACGATGCATAAAGCAATTGCTTTATTTTCGTTTTGGTGTTTAAAGTGGTTGATATCCAGATGACTTTTCAACCAATTTGAAGTTAGTTGTGGAATAATGCAT